CTTCTGATCCACTCTCAGAGTCTCCATCAGACCAGGTAACCATAAGTCCTTTCTTTTACTTTTTGAGATAGGAGGGACATTCAACTTTAATATGACCAAAACCCTCACATTCATAACACTAACTCCTTTTCCTTGGTTGGACTTTTCTTCAGACTTAGCTCTTCTGCTAATGTCAGATGAGATGTTCTTGTCATTAGGTCTACCCTTCTTATCTACCCTTTTCATGAGTCTGTTGAATTGTCTCCCAAGCATAAATACAGCTTCTGAGAGATTCTCCTTGTTTCCATCATTGTCTTCCTCAGAGTCATCTGCAGTATTTGAGACAAGAGCTATGCTTTTGTTCTTCTTCTCAACCTGATCACACGTTCCCATCTAAAAAGTTTAGAGAGAAACAATGAGTTCATCCACTTTCATGTTGCTTATATCCTGAGCTTCTTCAATAGCAGTGACTTTCATGGCAAACCTCTTAGGTAAAGATCTTAGAATCTTCCTCACAAGCTTTTCTTCAGACATCTTTTCTCCTAAAGCTCCTGAGGTATTGGCAATCTCAAGAATATTCATGTAGAATTCATGAATAGTCTCATCTTCCTTCATTCTCAAATTTTCAAACTTGGTGGTCAGCATTTGTACTCTTGACATCTTGACTTTAGAGGTTCCCTTTGAGTTGTTTTGAGAGTATCCCAAACCTCTTTGGCAAGTTCACAATGATGCACTAGTCAGAAAATGTTCTTGTCTATACCATTAAATAAGGCATTCAGAGCCTTAGAATTCCCAAGAGCCAAAGCCTCTTGCTCTTTGTTCCATTCCTCTTTAGGTATTAACATAAATACTCCATCTTTATCAGTCTTCACTGGACGTTCCCATCCTGAGTTGGCCGCTCTCCATGCCTTGCTATCTAAAGACTTCAAGAAGGCTATCATCCTAGGTTTTCAATAGTCAAAATTTGAGCCATCCAGAATTGGTGGTCTATTTGTGAATACTATATCCTTGTCCATAGTACCAAAATTTATCTTCCCTAGATCTCATCCAGAAAATAACAGGCAGGGTGCCTGCTCTGATGCCAATTGAAATTCTAGGTACCCAACCGTGGATGTTATCACGGATGTTATGACATCCACTATAACATAGACTACAAAACTTAATAACAAACTGTAAATGAAAATAGTAAATAACACAAGTAATTGGTTACCCAGTTCAGTGCAAACCACACCTACATCTGAGGGCTACCAAGCCAGGGAGGAAATTCACTATTAGCAGAATTAATTTAGAGTCAAACAACCAGTTTGCACTCTTCACTTAAGACCTACCCAATGACACTTCAGCCTAACACTAGACCTGAGTTACCAACTCACTCCCCCCAATCACAACAGTGATATAAACCAATTCAAAGTTACAAATGAGAAATTGAAGACACACTTCAAACAGATCTTAATTTTGCTTCACAGCTTCAATCAAGATACACAACACTCTTGCTTAAAAGCTTAGAGTGAACATACACAGAGTACAGTTCAAACACACTAGTCCAATGCAATCATCCAAGAGATAATTGCTTGGCTGACAAGGAATCCTAGGACTCAAAAACACACGTGCAGAACAACTGCACAACACAGAATTCTTCACTCACAAAACACTGTACTCCCCAATCTCTGTCCCTAAGCTCTGACGAATTAGGATTGCTACTTCTGTATATATAAGCAGTATACAGTCCTTGGGCCTAGGTGTAGAAATTAGGTTTATCCAAGATAAACCTCTCTTCATGAAGCTGCACACATCCAATTAGGTCAGGGGAATTCCATGTTATCCTCAGTAATGCCTGACATGTCGCCTGAGATAACTAGGCTTCCTAAAATGTTTCCTGAAGTATAGCCTGAGCTAATACCAGAAAACTTAAACATGCGCCATGATGTCATACGCTTGATGTCATAACATTAAGCATGACATCCAACTTACCCTGCAGAACACCCTTCATGTATGTCATAACATCAGTTATGACATTCACACATACTCCAATGTTTTGCCACAAAATGCAGCCAATCAAAAGCATCTACAAACATGAAAGTTTTGGAGCATCCTCCAAGATTTCTTTTGAGTGTTATAAATCCTCCATTGGATATGTAGAGCTCAAGTTATGATATCTCCAAGTTAGGGTTTCAAAGTTGTCAAATTTGACAAGTTATAGGCCAATTTTTGAGGCAACTTTCCAAGGCACATTTTACCAAGCTCTTGACTCCAAATCACTTTTCTTTGAACATGAAAGTTGAAGATCATTCTTCAAGCTTTCTATCCAGTAATATATCATTTTTATTGGATAAAAACTCATCATGTTATGTGCCTTCTGTTGCACCCCAAAATTTGACCAACATTTCTTTACCTAGCTCATGTTTCATTTCATTCACATTAGCATTGTCATTTGCATTTCATTGATATGTATGCAGGAGATTGTCACGGTGAAATTTGGATACCAAACTATTGATTAGTTTGAATCTTTAATTCAATTTGCAACCGAACTTTGATTTGTCCAAAGGAAGGGATAAAGATCGAAATTCCCACAATGCAATGCAAATGCAAGCTAGATTGTTTTAGGTTCGGGGGTTGGTTAAACTTAGGGAAGGTACTAGCATCTTAAGTTCCTGTAGTACTCTACAGGAACCTCTTGTTTTATGTTTGTTTATTGCTAAGTTATCTGCTTAAAGGATTAGAGACCCTAGGGGTTTATTTTCTAAGTATACTCGATAAGATATCGCATCTTATGCCTACATATCCTTACGGGAGTAGAATCAGAGTACTTGTAGTTCCCCTAAAGGGTTAGAGGAGCTCTTTGACTGTGGTCAAAGTTCCTACGGGTTTAGGGTAGTTGTTTTGATTGGGTTTAGAAGAAGATATGAGTCTTCATGTTAAGGGAGATGTAACCACCACAAGTGTAAAGGGGGTTGTAGGAAAATAGTCTTTGCATCGTCTTAAGAAAAAGGCTTAAGTACTCGGATTGTTTGACGAGTATGCCTTTATCACTCTTAAGGCAAAGTTCCTACATGTTTGATTGTATTATTGTGGGGGTGGAGATTATATCTCACTTAAGATGATTAACATCTATTCTCTATTGTGTTTGAAAAAGTTGTATAGTGTTGTTTGTTTGTCTAAGTTGTAGAGATAATGGTCCTTCCTATGGGGTAGGTCCTAAACTTATGCGATCAACTTGAATGGGATCAAGGATCGAAGGGATTATGATGCAAATAATGTGCAACTACACACAACGTTGAATTATGTGTAGGTTTTCCTTTGTACGAAATGCGATGCGATAATGTAAATTGCGATAAATTGTAAATTGCAGAGAGAAAATAGAAGTAGATAAGTAAACACATACGTACGCATGAAAGCGCTAATTTGTGTGTCGTGAAGTGCACGATTAGATGTTGATTTATTTTATTTGAGTTGATTTTTTAGGCGAGAAGTTAGATTAGTTTGGTATGAAAATGCTATATTAATCCTTAATTATGAATTTGGATTATGAGTTGATTAATAAGTCAATTATTTAAAATGAAAGTTGAGTTAAAAGGGTATTATTATGAAAACATATTACTAGGTCATTATGAAATGGGTTCTTAGGTTAACAAGGTTTTTTTTATAAATTTATTTTTTTAGATTAAAAGAAAACTTATTTTATTTACTAAACTTATTAAATAAAAAACTCGACTAAGTGAAATATTGATATTATTTGATAGAGGTTAATTAGATAAAATGATTTTTTAGATTAGATTAAATAAAGTTTTATAAAAGGTTGGAATATAATTAACTACAAAAAGGATAATTAATTATTTGATTAAATAAAATAGTTTTTGAATTAAAAGATTAGATTAAATAAATTAGTAGATAGAGCTTAATTAGCACTTAGGTGATAATTTGATTAGACTAAATAAAGTAGATTAATGGTTTAATTGGAATTGGAGAAAAATAGTCAATTAAAAGGTTTACTAGATTAATTAAAAACTAATTAGTAAGGAACCTAATCACTAATTAACTAAATTGATTAAAAACGATTAGAGGGGGATTATCAATTGATTAGATTAATAAGGAACCATATCTCAATTAATTAGATTAATTAAAGTTGGTGGTTAATTAAAGGGTAATGTTAGTGGTTAATGGATTGATTAGGGGGACTGATAGTTATCGTGGGTGTGAGGGTGCATGATAAGTGGTGTAAGTGAGCATACATCAGATTACAACAAAATTAAACAGAAAAAAAAAAATTAGGAACGAAGCCCTAATTCCATCGTTCTTCATCTTCCGCATCCTCTTCGACATCCCTTCAATCTTCTCTTCTCCTCCTATTTCCGCCTCATCTCTTCTTTTCTTAACCTGAAACAAGCAAACAGTCAAGAGATTTACACAAAAGGAACTCAATAAATTACCAAATGAGGGGCAACTGCGGTGTTAAAGCGGAAAGACTACGAAAAGCTTTTCCGGCAAACTTGAGGGTTCACGAAGCTTTGGCTATGCGGGGGTCACGCTGATACGGGCGATAAGGAATGGTGGAGCTTGCGATGGCGTTTGGAGCTGTCTCGCGGCGACAGGGGTTTCACGGTGGACCACTTTGAAGCTGATAGCGGCAGAGCTCGAGAGGTAACCTCTTAACCTTTTTTATTTACGAAATTTAGGTTTTTTTGGATTTAGGAGTTTGGGGATTTCTATGTGATTTTGTGTTAGGGTTTGCTTTAGGTATTTCTGTGTAAGCTCTCTTTTTCTTTCGCCTCTGATGCCCTTTTATAAGCTTCAAAATTCCCAACTTTCCAATTTGGATTTGTGATAATGACCATGATTGTCGTAGTTGGACCTTCTGTTTTGGGGTGCGATTTGAAAACTTTCCCTTTTTTCTGTCTGATCTCTTTAATTTCTATTGAACGAAAATCAAATCTTGATACTGTATCAATCTGTTCCACGATTTAGATTGGGATATTCGAATCATATTAGGGATATTCTCTGATTGATTTTTGCTGACTTGGCAATTATGATTTGCAGGTGAAGATATCGTTTCCGGAACGGGTTTGGATTGTCTTCGGCTCTTCAACAAAAGCATTGTGAAGCTTGTCTTTCTCCTCCAGCATCCTACTTAAGGTCATTGTTTTCTCATTATACTTATACTGCATTTTGTTGAGGTTTTCATTTGTAATATCAATTTCATTAGCCAGGTTTTCCACAATGCTGCTTCTGTTTTCAGATGCTTCTTGTACAATATCTGAAATTGTTCTCAGCCTTCCTTTGTTGCGAAGGTACTCCCCAATTGACCCTCCACCATAAAAATCATCTTCACGTGCAAGCCATCCATAAATGTCTGAACTGGCCTGCAAGTCCATCGGATTCCAATCCCTTTTTCCATGATGTTTAGTTTCCAAGGATTTTTCAAATTCACATGCATTCATGAAACCATGCCAGTCATTGTTGAAGTCTATTACAGCCTGAGCAACACCATCCATCATGAATACATGTACATCCAATGGTTTGTACTTGACAAATTCCTTTAGCCAGTATCCAGAATCATGAAATTCGCTCTTTATGTTAACAATTATGCCTGTCCATGGCCAAACATAATTTTCAGCTTGCTGGACAGGTTGAATGGCAGTTTGGGTCACAGTTGGGGGAGGTACTTGTTCTGCTTCATTAACTAAGTCGGTCTGCAAATACTTTGCCAGAGCAAGATGTTTCGCCTTTTGCATTGCGCTTCTGTTTGCTGAACCTTTGCCTACTCCAGTTGCGTGTTGCAACAAGTCTTTATATTTGAATTCCTGCTTCTTTTTTCCAGAACAATATGGGCACCTTAGAGTGCCATTGAAAATCCGAACTTTGTATTTCCCAGCCTTTAACTGTTCGTAAGGTTTCTCAGAATACTCTTCAATCTCAGACTCACTGATATCTGACTCTTCAGAGTTGTAGTCCATTGAAGCTAATGATGAAGATTCCGTCACAGAGCGAAACGATCACACTCAAGCACGCAGTGAGAAATGTGAAACTGTGAAAAGTGAAAGTGGAAAATTGAATGACCTAATCCCTAGGAGGGTGCAGCGATAAATGGTTTTGGGAGTTATCCTCGGTGTTGGCGCTCCACGGTTTTAACTAGCTCCCTATCTTTTTTTATTGGTTGATGAGAGGATGGTACAATTGTAGGTTAATGATTGGTTTAATGATGAGATACAACGGTGTTGAACTGTGGACGTGACCTATTCCAATCACCTATTTCCTATTCTGGCAGTCTGTTATTGCCAAAATATTGGATGAAAACTCTTTCTGTTGGATACTACTGCGTTTTTTCTGAATACTCCTTGTTGCAGATATGGCGGGAGCCGCGAGCAAGAGAAAACTCCAAAGGTCCGTTCACCGCATCAAATTTGAGAGCTTAGGCCATCAAGGAATGCTGATCAACATCTGGCTTGTTGCTACTCAATTAATTCTTTACTAGGTGAGCTTGTCCCAGCGTGTACTTGTATTGATATGTTGGAAAAACTGATGGAAGTGGCTTATCTGCTTGTAACCAAAGCCATGGAAATCTTTCACTGTTGCCGTTGTTGTTGCTTGACTGCTTGACTAGTCACACTAGAACCAGGATTTCTACTGAGCCCAGGTTGTGGCATATGATGGTTGCTGCTGATACGTTTGAAGCTGGTACGGGAATACCGGTAGTCGATGTTATGATGTTTCTGATGTTCTTTTGTACTGCTTGTTGTTGGTGTTTGCAGATGGTGGTATTGCAGGATTGAGAGGGATTTACTCTGGTTGGTGAGGAGGTGAAAACTGCAAAGAACTAGTGAGGATACCACTTCTGGTATGGTTTGGGAAGGTAGGGTTCAGAGGTAATTTGGTTTGTAATTCCTCAGCTTATCCGTGTTCATCTTCTGAACTTACATATCTTTGTGCATAACTTTGGATTTTCAGCAGGTTTGGGGAAGCGTGGCTGCTGCGGAATCAGAATGGAACAGGGAGTCTTGGTATTCCAACGTTAATGATGTGGTATGAAGCTTAGCTTTCAAACACAGAAATCCATTAATGAAAAACAAACCATGTAAATTAATCAAAATGCCCTTGTCTTTGCAGTGGTGTAGATACCGACGATGGGGCGTAAGTTGTGGTGTTGTCGCCGATGCCGAGGCTGAACGAGCTGGATGTTGCTGATAATGGAGTTTGAATGGATTTCCTGAAGTTCTTGCCAATAGAGCTTCTACCACCGAGCTTTTGTTTCAGGATCCTGAGAAATAAATAATGTCATTTCAACCATAGCTTCAACGTAAACAGACGTCGTCCCAATTCGTCCATCAAGATAGTCTTCTTTACTAGTTTGTGCAAATCCTGGACATTGTACATTGAAACCTCCAGTATTCTTGAAATTATCAATTTTGGAATTGTGTAATTGTTTGCCTTGTTATTGTTGTCTAAATGTTGATATCTTCGTTGTGACGCAGCAGGTATGATACCGGCCACTCAAATGCTAAAGGAGGTCGAAGTTTTGGATAACGGCACAATCAAAGTTATGAGGCTTATACATCTTGAAGTGAATCTTTTACCGAGGCCGGCAGCGCATGGACACCGTGGTTGAAATGTGGGATTCCACATGGATCTCCGAATCCTATAGTCTCAACTACTTGTGTTTTAAATTTGTAACCTCAACTATTTATGTTTTAAATTTGTAACCTTGGATGATTTGAATAATATGGCTTTGGAGATGAAAGAATAATATTGTCCTGAACTTGTAACATTGAAGACAATTGATGAAACTAGCGTGAATCCAGCCTTTAAATGAATTTCACCTTGGCTCTTCTTGGCTGATAAGTTTAATTTGATCCTTCAAACCTGCCAAACTGATATGTAATTTGTCCCGTGTCTTGGACTCTCCCTCTCTTCTTATTATAACTAGTGTGTGAAACTAGTATGTACTCTATAATGTAGCATCAAAGACCACGAGCTTCTGAGCTTTCGTAGCCCAACCTTATGCAGTGAAGTCCTTTGGATATTTCAGCCACAGTGCTGTTTGTCATTTGTATACAAAGGAGCCTTGAATTAAAACTTGGAATTTCTTTTAAAACATGACCCACACCTTGTGGGGATCCTTTACAACTTGAAATTCTCCTTGCCACAAACCAAGATCGATCTTCAAATGACTACATTTAAGTCCAAGGAAAATCCATTTCTCTTTACGAATAGGTAATGGAACTCTTAAGAGATACTGAAAAAAGCTAATGGAAAACTCCTGACCACGTCTTTGGCATAATTATTTGTGAGAATGAGAACTAACTCCATTTGAAATTATTGCACCTGCACAGACTTGTTAGTAACAACAAACATGCACACATAATAGTAACAAAGACATCATGTAATAAATGTAAACTAAAAACAAGGAATAAAAACAAGGACGTGGGATCTTATAGTCAAAAATTAGGGTGCAACAGAGATCAAGAGGTATGATTACCAATCAAGAGCTATACAAGAATATGAAGCCATCTAAGAAGGTTACTCAAGTGTTCAAGGGTTGATATCCTTGTCAGATAAGTTAAAGGATCCTCAGAGAGAGTGGTTGAAACCAAGTATGTGGGTCTCCTAACTTGAGAGTTGTGGGAAGCCATCAGATGATTATGCGGTCATGAAGATGGACTTGAGGTCTTGAGAGAGCTCATGAGAAGTGTTGAAGATCACTTTGAGGCCTAGACAGGTCATTGTGTAAGATTAAGAAGACTCAGCCATGAGTGGTGCAATTAGGGTTTGACTGGGTCAACCCTAAGTCAACTGGTGAGTTGAAGAAGGTTGAGACTTAATTCAAGAGCCATGTGATCATGGATTGATACATTGAGATGTTCTAAGGATTATTCCAAGGTCAACTCATCATGATTTAAGAGTTTGAGAAGTTTCAGGCTAGGGTTTCTAAGACTTGACAGTGTAAAATCCCCTAGTTTGACCCCTGACTTCAAGGCAATGTAGCTCAAGATATGATTGTCATCTCATCTTGACCCAACATTATTGTTGTAGGTCATGATCTTAGCTTTAATTTGAGTACTATAAGTCCTTGATAGGATTTATAGAACTCATGTTATGAGCCAAACAAGTTACAAGTCATTTGAGGCATGTGAATTTGGAGCTTGAAAGTTACCAAACTTGCATGACACCTTTTCCCAATAAGGATGATTCCTATGAACTTTTGGTCAACATTAATGTTGTTCCTTATTCTCTTAGCTTTCCATAGAGTACTAGAAGTCCTTGATAGGATTTGTATAACTCAAGTTATGGCTTTGAGAAGTCAAGGGTATTTTGGGAAGTTGTGATTATGTGTCATTTTTTGTTATAGGTCATTTTCACCAACTTAGATATCTCAAATGATGTTTTGTTCAACTTGAAAGTTGCTCAAAATGGGGTTTTAACCTTGACCATGTATCAAGGAGGCATTGAAATGGCTCAAGGAGATACTTCATTCAAGAAATTGTGAAAAAGAAAGAATTAAAGACCAAAAATTCAAAATTAATGTTATGTGAGCAAATGAGGCAAAATAATAGCATTTTTTGAATGGAAAATACATTTTGGAAACAATGACATTATTAGAATTTAGCATTGAGCTCATTTTCATGACCTTTTGCCTTGATACTTCATGAAGAAGTTACATCTCAAATCCAAGCCATGGGATGAAAACAAGGGATGAATCCCCACCATTCAAGTTCAGTGGTTCACAAGGAGTGTGTTGAAGGTTTCCTGAAGGAGAAATGGATGAGATATTGCGCCTACCATGAATGAGATATTGAAGAGAAATTGAAAGTTGAAATTCTCATTCTGAACCTTTGAGAAGGATCTAGATTATTCAGTCACATCCTATATAAACATATGAATGCATTCAGTTCATTTTTTGGTGAAGATTGAAGCCTGAAGCAGAGAGTGAAGTTGAAATTTCAGAGGTGCAAGTGAGAATCGAATTTTGAGTTCAAGGCCAAATCAAGATCAATTGAAGGTTTCATTGTGTTCATCAAGGGATTTGGAGTGAATCTGCACTTTCTTGAAGGATGAAGAGTGCAAGAACTACCTCTGTTACAAGCTTGAACACAGGTTGGTACATTTCATTTTTGTGCTTGATTCAGGTAGAAATAGATAGCATTCTATAGGTGGTTAGGATCCTGGTAACATGTAGTTGGATTTAGGATCAGAAATTGGTGAATTAGAGACAAAGGAGGAGTGTGATCAATTTCTGTTGAGCCTTGGATTAGGTGATTCTTGGACTGATAATCAAGATTGGATAGTGTAGAATAATCACCATGAGATGAGGATTACATCTGTGCATTTAATTGAGACTTTGGTGAGAATCCAGATTGAGGTATATTTTGAAAGTGCTATCGGGTTTGAAAATCCATAGGGAGTTAGATGATTCTGAGGATAGATTCATGATCAACATTGAATTCTAGAGAGAATGATGTATGGTTTGTGAATTTTTGATGACCTGTGTAAATGTCTTCACCGGAGAAGACGGTGGCACTACCGTCTGGTTTTCCCCCCAAACTAAAGTTTAAATGAGGAAGAAACGCAGGAGCCATTGGATCTTGTCTGAAGCTTGACCTGGTAACCCTCATCCACGGCCACGATTGAATATGAGTTGTTGACTATTGACTGAAGCAAAACGACGCCGCCCTCATTAATGCGTTGGCACCATGTGAAGACCTTGGATCAGTTGACTGGTAATTGCATCGTGTGAGCAAGGTTGTGCCACGTAACCCCAAATCCAAACGCAGCATTCAAGTTAGTGAGTTATCTGGGCTTAGTGATCTGAACTGATACTCACACCCCCCTTTGGGCCCAACCCACACATTTAACTGATTGGAATTGCTATTCACCACGCGCCCCTTATTAATTTCTATTCTTTTTTCTTATTTTCTTCATTTTTGGTTGGTTTGATTTTAATCCATTAAAAATAGGAAAA